TATTCTTCCAGAACTTTCTTTCTTTTTTTTTAACTTAACCTACAATGGATTTCTGTACTGCTGTATGAAAAGTGAATTTACTCTGTAAATCTTCACCCAAAGAGTAATTAAAAAAAAAAAAAAAAAAAACATCAACTCTTTTTTAAAAGGCTGTTTAGTATTCGGTTGTACAGCCCTCAGTACTGCCTGGTAACCATGTCCACTTCCTGAGTCCATTCACTTTCCCATAGGATGACATTGTCACCCCTTCTCCTCTCTCCTCAAACCTTCAGTACCTCCTCCCCCATGTTCATTCTCAGGTAATGACCTTGTTTCTCATGGCGCTGAGAAAAATGCAGCCTCCAAGTGAGAACTTGTGTCAGCTCCCTCTGCCACATGTGTCTACAGGCTTGCACCTGCACCCATGTCCTCAGTTGTCCTTCCTGGCATGGGAGTGAGCTCTCCTTGCACCTGCCTGCAGCCCACCCTTCTAGTTGTGCCCTGGATGCCCTCCCCTCCCCTCTCTCCTGCTCAAGGACATTCCTTCAGCAAGCCTTTCCTCCCTCCAGCACTGTCAAGTTCTCCCAGCAGCTTACAAACATGCTGTTATTTTTTCCCTCTTATGACAAAATTAAATGAAATTGCCTGGATTCCACAGCTGCCCCCAGCCATGATCCTTACAGCACAAGTCCTCCCAGCAGTTGTCTCTACTTTTTTTCCATGTTCGCTTTTTTCCACCTTTTATTATGACAATTTCCAAACAAATAAGAAAAAGAAACAAAAGTAGAAAGTACATGTCCCCAGGACCCTCCCTTTTATTCCTGGATAGTTTCAAAGGAAATCCAAGAGCATGCCACTTCATCCTCCAAATACTTCAGAATGTATTAAACGTAATAAGACTTCGTGCCAGGTGAAATGACTTAGACACAAAAGGGCAAATACTGTGTAATTCCACTTACCCAAAATAGCTGGAATAGGTAAACACATAGAGACCAAAGTAGACTAGAGGCTATGCTACCAGGGGCTGGGGGAGGGGGAAGTGAGGACTTACTGCTTAAGGGGTACAGAGTTTCTGTTTGAGGTGATGAAAAAGTCGTGGAAATAGTGGCAATGATTGTACAACATTGTGAATATAATTAATGCCACAGAATTGTACACATAAAAGGGTTAAAATGACAAATTGTGTGTGTGTGTGTTGGCCAGTTGCCATCGAGTTGATTCCAACTCATGGCAACCCCATGTGTATCCAGAGGGTTTTTAATAACTGATTTTTTGCAAGTAGATCACCAGGCCTTTCTTAAGTGGTGCCTCTGTGTAGACTCAAATCTCCAACCTTTCAGTTAGCAGATAAGCATGTTAAACATTTGCACCATGTATGTTGTTGTTGTCAGTGCCATCGAATTGATTCTAACTCATGACAACCCCATGAGTTGCCTGGTCCTGCTCCGTCCTCGATTATTGCTACGCTTGAGCCCATTGCTGCAGCCATTGTGTCAATCCATCTCAATGAGTCTTCCTCTTTTTCACTGACCCTCTATTTCACCAAGCATGATGTCCTTCACCAGGGACTGATCCTTCCTAATAGGCATCTCCAAGGTACGTGAGATGAAGTCTCACCATTCTCACTTCTAAGGAGCATTCTGGCTGTACTTCTGAGATAGATTTGCCTATTCTTCTGGTTGTTGTTGCTATATGCCGTCGAGTGGGACCTGACTCATAGTGATCCCTCCTTGGATTTCTGAGGTGGTATCATTAAGGAAGTACATTGCCCAACCTTCTGTCCAAGGAGTGGCTAGTGGGTTTGAACCACCAGCCTTCTGGTTAGCAGCCAAGTGCCTTAGGCATTATGCTACCAGAACTCCCTGTCCTTCTGATAGTCCATGGTATATTTAATATTCTTCACCAACACTATAATCCTTCATCAATTTTTCTTTGGTCTTCCTTACTCATATCCACATGTATGTGAGGCAACTGAAAATACCGTGGCTTAGACCAGATGCACCTTAGTCTTCAAGATGCTATCTTTGCTTTCTAACACTTTAAAGAGCTCTGCTACAGCAGATTGACCCAATACAGTCCATCTTTTGATTTCTTAACTGCTGCTTCCGTGGACAATTTTGTGGATCCAAGTAAAATGAAATCCTTGACAACATCAACCTTTTCTCCATTTATCATATTGCTTATTGGTCCAGTTGTGAGGATTTTTGTTTTCTTTACGTTGAGGTGTAATCCATACTGGAAGCTGTACTCTTTGATTTTCATCAGTAAGTGCTTCAAGTTCTCTTCACTTTCATCAAGCAAGGTTGTGTCATCTGCATATCGCATGTTGTTAATGAATCTTCCTCCAATCCTGATGCTGCATTTTTCTTCATACAGTCTAGCTTCTCCATATCTTTACCACAGATATTTAAATTTTCTTAGAAAAATAACTAGGACATTTCTTTATGTGACTACATAGATATTAGTCCATTGAACAAAATTAATGATAATTATTTATCACCATCGAATAACCAATCACATATTTAACCCTTTTCAATTTCTATACAATCTCATTTTTTTTTGTTTCCAATGACTAACAAGTTTATAGTGCCATTTATTATTTAAATGTCTATATATGTACAAATTAGAAGCTATCAATCTAGACATCTCCAGATACTTATAGCACAGAAATAGGAATATGATTTGGGAGAAATTCATTGTCTCTGGGTAAAAGGTGCTCAGATTTTATTTGAAGTGACCAAGATGAGGGCTTTGGATGAGGTGTGTATAGAATCTCATTTTACAGTTAGTTTGTTTTACCTGGACTCAATGTCTCCTTTAATCTGAAACAACCCCCCCCCACACACACACATATATCTTTTTTCCATGTCACTGATTTTTTTGAAGAAACCAGATCAATTGCCCTAGAGAATATTCCACATGCTGGATTTGGCCCATTGCTTCCTTGTGGTGTGGTTCATTTTGGTGTTGCTCCTCTGTCCATTTTCTCTTGAATGGATTCTAATCAGGCTTTCATATCAAAATACTCTATAGAAATGTCTCCTGTGAAGATTACCAATGACTCAATGTTGCTAAATATAGTCATCAATTTCAAGCCATCATCTTTCTTGATGTATCAGCAGCATTTGATTCCGTTGACCACTCTGTCTTCCCAGAAGCACTTTCATTTGGTTTTCAGGACACTCTTTTGATTTCTTTCTACCTCACTGGGTGCAGGTTCCCAGGCTTCTAGGCTGGTTCTCCTTGGCTCCTCTGTCTAAATGTTGGCAGCTGCAGGGTTCAGTCTTTGGCTTTTTTCTATCTAGTCTCACCCCCTTGGTGATCTTATCTAGGCTCCCAGCTTAAAATACCACTCATAACCTGATGACACCCACATTTTTGCCTATAGGTCGGTTCTCTCCCATAAACACCAGACTCATATATCCACCTCATTCCTCAGCATCTCCACTTACATGTCTACAAGGCTTTGCAGACATACTGTGCCTGATTTGGAAACAATTAAAGGAATTTGAATATGGACTAGGTATTAGATAAAACAAAACTTAGTTCACTTGGAAAGCTAGAGATCATTAATTGAGAAAAGCAAGTTACAAAACATCTATGCTATGATTTCATTTGGTTAAAAACTCATATATAAATATATAGTCATTGGAAAAGTTGAGTTGTGGATAGTGGCCATTTCAAGGAGCTCTGGTGGCACAGTGCCTAAGGCATTTGACTGCTAACCAGAAAGTTGGCGGTTCAAACCCACCAGCTGCTCTGCAAAAGGAAGATGGAGCGATCTACTTCCGTAAAGATTTACTGCCTTGGAAAACCAATGAGGGTCACTATGAGTTGGAAACTACTCAGTCACAGTGAATGAATTAGTTGTGATCTCAGGGTAGTGGATAATGGTACTTTTCTTTTTCACTTACTTGTATATTCTAACTTTCTTCAACATACACATATGGGTTTTATATGAAAATAAAAGGCTATTTTAAAATGAAAAGCACGTGGATAACAAAACTATGCTACATACACACAATGGAATACTATGCAATGCTAAAGAATAATGTAGAATCTGCAAAACACCACATAACGTGGATGAACTTGGAGGACATTACGCTGAGTGAAATAAGTCAATCACAAAAGGACAAATATTGTATTAGTCCATTATTGTAAAAGTTAAGGAGAGGTTTATCTATAGAAGGAAATTTTCTTTGTTGGTTACCAGGGGTGGGAGGGGAGGGGAGGAAACACTGTTAGATAAATAGAGATAAGTATTGATTTGGGTGAAGATAAGGGCAATGTACCAAATGTGAGTGACCAATATGACACCAGTGAGGATGAGAAAGACATAGAGAGATACAGACCACAAATATGAACCCTTTTGCACATACAGTACTGCATTGTCAGTGAAGACAAACATGGGTATATGGGTGGATAGATGGGTGGACAAGCTGAACGATTAGGTATGTCTATGAAATGGGGAGTGTATCCAAGAACATATATAGGGTTGGCAGACAATGGTCCTATAAGTTTATGTGAATGATCAGAATTTCCAGGTGTATAGTAGAGCTGACAAGGGGCAAGGTTGTGGTCACTGCTTGGTCACAGCCAGCTACCCAGAGGGACTGAGTAGTTGAACATGCAGGCTTGGGACCATAGTCACAGGGGACATCAAGCTCAACTGGCATAACATACTATACAAAACATTGTTACACCTCCTACTTTGGCAAGTAGCGACTGGGATCTTAAAAGCTAGCAAGCTGCCATCTAGATGCAACGATGGGTCTCTCCTCATCCAGAGCAAAGAAGAAAGAAGAAAACCAAAATTCATGGAAACAATTAGTCCTAGCGACTGGTACACCATCCGATCTGCAGCCTATACAACTATGAGACCAGAAGAACTAGATGGTGCCCAGCTACCACTGTCATCCACTTGAAAGGGGATCTATGTAGGAGATCCTTGATAGAGAGGGAGAACAATGTGGAACAAAACTCAAAATCATTTGGAGGGAAAAATAAAGGTGGGGGGGACCAGGTTTGCTGATTCGCTAGAGCCTGGTGGAACCACTGAGACTATGTCCACTAACTGCCCTTCAGGTCTGGAATGGAACCCACACCTGGGGTTTCCAGCCAAACAAAAGACAGGCATATGAGTTGAACATTTACCTCAAGTAGATACTCTCCTTGGAGAGAACAATCATGGGAGAAAGAAGGGCTGCTTATACACAGGGAGACAGCTCAGGGGGCAGGAGTGCATGGAGGGATGGACACTGGGAAGAGGTAACTATGCGGAGGAAGTGGGAGGGGAGCTGTTGCATTGTGGTAAACTGTGGTCAATGTCATGAGACAAAGTATATGTGCACTCCTGTATGGAAAGTGAATTTGCTCTGTAAATCTTCACCCAAATCACAATTTAAAAAAAAAAAAAATGAAAAGAGCATTTGTCTAAAACAGAACTCCATATCTTCCTCTAAACCTTCTCCCTCCATTGCCCGACCCCTACTCCCTAGTCTTTTCCATCCCAATGACTGGCTGCTCCATCCTTCCCCAGTGGCTCAGGCCAGAACCCTCACACTCATCCACACATCCTCGCTTTCTTTCTCTCTCATATCCCATGCCCATGGCTTATTTTAAAAGCTACCTAGAATCTGATCACTTCTCACTACCTTCACTACAGTGGCCAAAGAGCTGCTCAGGAAATTCATGGGATAAATACAAATAGCCACTGAATGTTTTAAACAGTGCCTCACTTCACTGAACATCAAACACATGCAAATTTCTTAGACTCTGAGGTATCTTTTCTTCCTATCAAGTGGGCAAAGATTCCAAAGAGTGATGACACCCAGTGTGCAAGTGTGAGGAGAAGTAAGTATTTTCTCTCACGTGCACACACGTGCACACACACACACAACCTTGCAGTGCTGTGAGGCAGTGCCTTTGAGGCTGTGCATGACTTGCTGTGGCTCTGGGACTGGGTAGTAAAAGCCCTCTGTGGCCTCTCCTGGCAGTCCCTTCCTTAGACCTGGGCAAGAAGCTGAGCATACCGCAGGACTTGATGATGGAAGAGCTGTCGCTGCGCAACAACCGAGGCTCCCTCCTGTTCCAGAAGAGGCAGCGCCGTGTGCAAAGGTTCATCTTTGAGCTGGCAGCCAGCCAGCGGGAGGTGAGTGAGCCCCCCTTGTGCTCACGGGGAAATTGATACCCAGAGAGGACCAATAGTTAACCTAAAGCCACACAGTGAACCAGGCTGTGGACCTCTGGCCCCTGGTGAGTCCCTCAAGCTCCAGCTGTGATGTTCTTATTAACCTGAATCTCTGCCTAACTGTATGATCCTAGAAGTATTTTATCTCTGCAGGCACCTCTGCCCAGATACAAAACATAAAGTGGACCAGGTGGGTGAGCTATGGGTGAAGGGGCTTTGGCTCCTGCAAAAGATACTGAAGAATACTCACACGCTCTAGGCTCAATTTGCAGCAAGCAGGAGCTAGGTGAGACTTGAGCTCAATCTAAAATAGAAATGCCTTTTTCTTTTCTTCCCACTGGAAGAAGGAAAAGGTCACAGGACCGCCTGTTGGTAAAGAAAGAAGGCAAGAATGGCTTGTTCTCAGGCCTCAAAAAGGAGACAGGTCTTTCTTAGGAAGTCAGGGACATTCCACCCACGCACTTCATTCAATTTCTGGGCTGAAGGGGAGGCAAGCTGAGAGGGGATGAGGTGGCAGAATGAAAAAGATAACACAACGCCTATCTTTGCTATGTGTCTGGCACTGCTAAGTGTGTCATCTCATTTAATGCTGATCAAACCTGTAAGGTAGCAATTACCATCATCCCTATTTTATAGAAAAGGAAAGGGAGACTTTCTTGCCCAGGGCCAATATTACAGTAGCAACTGGGAGCCTTTCTCTGTCCCAGGATCTGGGTTTAAGCTCTACACTATTAACTCACTCTCCAAAATCCCTGGAGAGTGGGTATTAAGACTATGTTCATATTTTTTGGTGGGGAGGACTTTGGCCCCTTGCTCTGCTGAGCCAAACTGTAGTTTGCCTTCGATAGATCCTGGCTGGAAGCACCAAGGGAAAGGTGACCAGAACCTCAGAGCCAGATACCTTGGGAGCAGAGGTAAGCCTCACAGGAGGGGGAGTTGGGGATAAGGAGCCAGGGAGCTCAGATGTGGTTGGCTGCCGCCTCTGAGGGCCCACCTGTGTGCCCAGGCTATCAATGGCCCCAAAGGACAGAACTACCGCTCGGAGCTCCACATCTTTCCGGCCGCGCTTGAGGGCTCCCAGGACGCCTGCCCCGCAGCAGCCACCATGGCGGAGCGTCCCCGCAGCCCCAGTGCCCTGGCACCTGGTGAGTGTCTTCCCTCGGTCCTAGGATCAGGGCTAGAAGGCAGGAGCTTGGGTATCCTCAACTGCAAAGCAGCCTGTAGAGCAGAAAGAGCACCCGGAGAATGTCTAGTTCGCTCTCTTATCTCAAACACTAAATTCCAGAGAGGCACAGCAACTCATCCAAGGTCACACAGCAGGTCAGAGTTCGAGCCAAGATTAGAACATGTGGCCAGAACTTCTGGCTCCTCTGCTCTAGTCCTCCAGTTTCCTAGGATGGGAAAGAGTCCCTCTGGTTGGGCAACATTGGCATCACTCACCATTTTCCTAGTTCTGATCGTTCCTAAGGAGCTCTGGTGGCGCAGTGGTTAAGACATTCAGCTGCTAACCAAAAGGTTGGTGATTCGAACCCACCAAGCACTCGAGCGGTGTTCTGGTTACCTAGTGCTGCTCTGACAAGCATATATACCACAAATGGGATGGCCTTAACAAACAGGAGTTTGTTATCTTACAGTATGGAGACTTTAAGTCCAAGTTCACAAAGTGCCAGTCTCTAGGGGCTGGGTGAAAGCGCCTTGACCTTGGGCTTCAGCTCACACAAACTAAACTACCACAGTTCCACCCCTTGTCAACTTGGCATCTGTACAGCTCTTCATTGGGTGGCATCTGTACTTATTTCTCTCACTGGGTGGCTCCAGTCCCCTAGTTCATCTAAGTAGTGACCTTACCCCCTTGGCCTGGTGGGCCCGTTCCTCTCCCTCTTGGGGATGGCAGCCCTGCCCCCTCACTCTTGGGCAGTGGCTATGGCCCCATCCCACTGGCTCACATGAACGAGCAGTCCCACGCTCCAGAACCAAGTTGGTGAAGGCCTCTTTGAAACCTAGGGGGCTGTGGTGGTTCCACCCCCAAAGGCCATGGTCCCACCTTTTCAGGCTGAGGCAGCTCTGCTTCCAGTTTCCTTGGTCTCTCTGCTTCTGCCGATCAACACCGAAGGCAACCCACTTCACTGGAAAACTTCCTGCCCAAAAGCACTTGCCTTTCTTGCTCCGTGGGCTGGCCAACCTGCTACTCCATCTCATGCAGGTCTCTTTTACCAATTAATGCCTGTAGGCAACCTACTCTACCAGGAAGCCACCTACCCAGTGGCACCCAGATTTCTCCTCTGTGGGCTGGTAAGCCTGTTGCTGTTTAATGCCGGTCTCTGGGCTCTGCTACCACCATCTCTCATGCTGGTCTCTCGGCTCTGCTCCTGCCTATCTCTCATGCCATATGCCGGGGTCTCTCTGCCAGGGTCTCACATCAAGGATGCACTCCACTCCTGTTTCCACATTTAGGTATCTGTCAGAGCAGCACTCGACTCTCTCGGTACCAAATTCTGTTCTGGTTACCTAGTGCTGTTCTGACAAGAATATATACCACAAATGGGATGGCCTTAACAAACAGGAGTTTGTTATCTTACAGTTTGGAGATTTTAAGTCCAAGTTCAAAGTGCTAAGCTCTAGGGGCTGGGTGAAACCCCTTGACCTTGGGCTTCAGCTCTGCCTCTTGGTCCCAGCCCACTGAAGCTAGAGACATATCTTCGCTCAGGCAGCTACTGGCTGCTAAGGCTAACAAGCTCGACAAATAAAATGGCACAGTCTCGATGTTATCAAACCACATGACAAGCCATTAATTCAAGTTCATTGTAAGTCCCAGGATCAGCAGAGCACGGCAGGCTGCTGAACAACAACACAGTTACATGCAGGATCCAAACGTGCCATAAGCTAGAGACTATTCCCCAAGGCTTCTGCTTATATACAAGAAGCAGACCACATCCCTAGGACAGCTAGCTACTCAGCTGCTCATAGTAGATTCCACCATGGAGTTGATTACTAGTCTCATCATGGGGCTGCCCTACATCCAGCTGCCCAGTCATTCAACCAGGCCCAGCCAAGTTGACACACAAACTGAACTATCACAAGGGGAGAAAGATGAGGCAGTCTGCTTCTGTAAAGATTTACAGTTTGGGAAACCTATGGGGGTCGCTCTGCTCTGTCCTATAGGGTCTCTATGAGTCAGAATTGACTTGATGGCAGTGGGTTGGTTTTGGATCTTACCTATTCCAAGCAGGTCCACAGGGTGGGGTGGGAGTGGGGACTGAGGGAGAAAGAAGCGGAGCGTCCTCTACTGCCAACCCCCAATGTGCCCTGCTCCTTCTGCAGGCTACACATCTCCCCTGAAGAGCGTCCCTCCGGAGAAGTTCAACCACACAGCCATCCCTAAGGGTTACCGCTGCCCGTGGCAGGAGTTCGTCAGCTACCGGGATTACCAGATCAACAATGCAAGTCACGCCCCCACCCCGGCCGATTATCGCAACTTCAACAAGTAAGGCCCAGCATGCTTTCAGGTGCCCAAGAAGCCAATCCCAACCACAACAGCAGCCTCCATTGACTGTACTTTCTGCATGCTGGGCTCTATCCTACATACTTCATATACATTTATTTAGCTCTTGCTAGAACCATGCCTCAGCACATAGCAGGTGCTCAATAAATGTATTTGGACTGAATATGCCACACTCTTTGTTGGTTCCCTGCTGCATTAGGGTAAGGCAGGTACCACAAGTTTGCCTGTTCTGCAGATGAAGGGCCTGGGGCCCAGAAATAGCAAATAATCTCCCCAGAGTCATAAAGCAAGGAAGCAGCAGCAGGGCTGGGATTCAAGCTTGGGTTTGTCTGACTCCAGGGCCCAGTTTCTTGTTCTCCATAACTGCTGTGTACCAGCTCTATGATGGACATCAGGTGCATGTTCTTTCCTGAGTGGGGCCCCAAATTGCATCAGTGCTAGGCTAACACCACACTGCACTGCCTTGGAGTTGGATCCAACTCATAGCGACCCCTCCTTGGGTTTCCGAGGAGGTATCACTATGGAAGTAGATTGCCCAACCTTCCTTCTGAGGAGTGGCTGGTGGGTTTGAACCACCAGTCTTCTGGTTAGCAATCAGATGCCTTCGGCACTATGCTACCAAAGCTAACTAGCGGAGCCTTTTCCTCACTTTCATCAATGGTTTGGAAGAGACCTGTTGTTGTTGTTGGGTGCTTTGAATAAATTCTGGCTCATAATGACCCTATATGACAGAGTAGACCTGCCCCATAGGGTTTCCTGTGAGTTGGAATCAACTTGTTGGCAGTGGGTTTCATTTGGTTTGTTATTATTATTGGAAATCCTGGGTGACACAAATGGTTAAGCACTCAACTACTAACTGAGAGATTGGCGGTTTGAATCCATTCAGAGGGAACCTAGGAAGAAAAGCCTGGTGATCTGCTTGCAAAAGTTCACAGCCTTGAGAGACCTATGGAGCAGTGCTGTTCTGCAATCCATGGGGCTGCCAAGAGTCAGAACTGACTCAATGGCAACTGGTAAAATTATTAGTAGTATTTGCCAGCTGAAATCATGGAAAAACTAACAAGGTAGAAATTGAAAGGGGACAACTTCACATTCTGTCCTGTGGACTTAAAACAAGCCTTAGGAGTGAACACAGGGATTTGGTACTGGAGAAAGCCCTTAGGGTTGGGGATACATTTCAATTGCAGTTGGCTTCCATGGTCGATGCTATTTCTGGAAATGTTCCTCTGGCTTGAGCTGCATTGAATGAGGAGGAGGAGGATCCACAGAGAAGAAGCCCCAGTCCAGCTCTTCTGGCACCTGCTCAGACCACACATGGAGACCATATCTCTCTGACAGACAGATGGCTGGGAGACCAGGCCACATGAGGAAGGGCTGAAGGAACTGGGGGTGGTCAGCCTTGAGAAGAAATGGCTCAGGAGAGATGTGACTAATCTCAAACAGCTGAATGGCCAGGGAAGGCCTTACAGGAAGAATTGGGCCAACAGGCGCTGTGCAAGCCACAAGCTATGGCAGACCTTCTGGAATTTTCTGCCAGGCAGAACTGACTTTTCACTTCTCCTGGGGCCCCCAAAGCCTGCTTGCCCAGCTATTTAAACCCTCAGCAGACATTCAATCCTAGCTGGCAGCTTCCAGGCTGGCCAACTCAGACCCCAGCCCCATCCAGCTCAGGCCTCAGGTATGACAGCCTGAGGCATAGTCCCACCCAGTAGAAGGAAGGCCTTAGGGAGGCTAGAGCCCAGCCACCTTTTGGGACAAACAGGGCAATTAGGTGTAGAGAGGAAGAACAGCAGTGTTGGTGGTCAATCTAGGCTCAGACTCCAGGGCTCTGGGCTCCCAGTCAAGTGCTGAACTTGAGGTCTGCTCAGCTTGGAAACTGCCCAGTCTGCTCCGGTGGGGCCTGGCTGTTGCTACCAAAGCTGGGATGGTCCAGGCAGAAAGCTTTCTGGCTGGACCCCAGGTCCTGGCCCAAGGTTTGCCTTTCTGTCCCAGGGGGATGGATGTACTTTGTTCTTCCCACTGGTTCCAGACTGTGGGGGCAAACATTGCACATGGGGCTACTTTTTATTTTTCTTAAAATATTTTTTTTAAATTATTTTTAATCACATAAGAGTATTCTCTTTACAAATAAAAAAATGAAAGAAAGAAAAGACAATTATAGATAAAGCCAGGACCTCTTTGCCCATTGTCTTCCACCCTCAGTTCTCTCCCCAAAGATAACACTTTTGTCAGGGTGGTGTGTTTGTGTCTAGAATTTTTGTCTGGGCAGCTACATACATGTAGGGGACATGGCTTTGTTTGTGTGTATACGTGCGTGTGTTCTTGCATGTCATTCTGCAAATTGTTTTTTTCACTCAACATTATGTTACTGAAATCTACCCTACTTGATGCACATAGATCTAGTTCATGCCTTTAAGCTGCTGTGTAGTATTGTCATGTGAATATTCTACATTTGTCTCGTTCATTCTGCTGATGGACATACAGACAGATTATTTCTAGCTTCTCACTAACACAGGATTCATACCTGCTCTCTGTGCCTATATGCACATGCTTTCCTAAACTATATGCCTGGAGGTGACAGGGTTTACACCTTTTCAGGTTTAAAAGATTTTGCCAAGGTTCTTGTCAGCTACCACCAAGTCAGCCCCCAACTCCTGGGGACCCCATGCACAATGAAATAGGGCCATCATTATCCATAAGGCTTTCACTGGCTGATTTTGGAAGTGGATCATCAGGCCTTTCTTCTCAGTTCATCTTAGTCTAGATGCTCTGCTGAAACCTGTGCAGCGTCATAGCAACCTGCAAGCCTCCCCTGACAGGCAGTGCTGGCTGTGCTTCAGGCGCGCTGGCTAGGGACTGAACCTGGGTCTCCTACATACACGGTGAGCATTCTACCACTGAACCACCACCACCCCCACCCTCTAAGGTAGCAGCATTTACTTTCCAGCTAGCAGCATTTGAGTGAAACTTTGTCCCCACCACTTCACCAGGTTTGCCCTATTCTCAGAGTAGCTCCTTTTGCCAGTCTCATGAGTGAGAAATGGTGTGTCTCTGTTGTCATTTTAATTTCCCTGACTTTCAGTGCTCTTTCTGCTCCCTCCTCCTTAGCCCTGTTTGTGGGTGTATTGTTCTAAGGGGAGACAGGGAGAGGAAAGAAAAACTCTATGTCCAACTCTACTCCTTCTGGGGTTCACTTTGGGGAGCCTAGGTTTAGCCTAGAACAAGTCAGTTCCAACCCTGAAACATCAGTCCCACTCCTAAGCAACGAGCCACCCCCTCTAGGGGCAGTCTCAGGAGCAAGCAGAGTGGGAGAAACCTGTCAAAATTAGTTCAAAAGCTGTATAAAAGGGGAAACTGAGGCCCAGAGAGGCGGGGAGGAGACCACATGTAGTGACCCACGTGTCACTGCTCTGCCATCCCTTGCCCACACAGCCCACCCTTCCTGCTGTTCTTCTTTCCCCAGGACCCCAGTACCATTTGGAGGACCCCTTATTGGGGATGCTGCCCCCAGGGCAGCCACACCCTTCGTCCCGGAACTCCCCAGTGGCTTGGAACTCCTCCGCCGCAGACCCAGCTTCAACAGAGTGGCCCAGGGCTGGGTCCGCCACCTCCCGGAGTCCGAGGAGCTGTAGCCCCAGGCTGAATCTTCAATTCCCCAGTCTTGAGGTTCGGTAACACCTCGGGCCCAGAGTTGTGGACAAAGGGTTTTCAAACACAAAGTCTTATGTAAATGGCCTCAAAGGTCACAAAGTTCAGTGGTCCCCAACGGTGGCTAGGCTTCAAAATCCCCTGGAGATGTTGTTTCAAATGCAGATTTCTGGTCCACCCCAGACTGGCAGCCTCAGAATCTCCTGGTTAGGGCTTCTGTATCAGTAAGGAGCTCTCCCATGTGATTCTAATGTAACTGGTCCATGATTTGTGCCTTTAGGAGTCCAAACTACTGATGGAATCCACCTCCATGCCCCTCCTCTTCCCGGTCTAGTGCTCTTACTAGCACCCCTTCAGTGACAGAGAGCTAACTGGCACCTCATCTTTGTTGTTGGGTGCCATCGAGTCAATTTTTACTTATAGCGACCCCATGTGTCAGAATAGAACTGTCCCATTAGGTTTCCTGGGCTATAATCTTTATGGGAGCAGATCACTGGGTCTTTCTCCCTCGTTGCTGCTCAATGGGTTCAAACAGCCAACTTTTTCATTAGCAGCCAAGTGCTTACCTGTTGTACCACCAGGACTCCTTGAATAACTGATAATTAGAATATCTTTCCTTTTACTTAGATGCAGTCAGCCTCCATCCATTTATTCATGTTCTAAACATTTGCTCATCACCTACAGTGTGCTAGACCCTGTGCTGGACCTGGGGAGAGTGTGACCTAGAGGAGGAAAAGACATTCGGGAAGACATATTTGTACAGCACTAAATCACCCTGGAGTTCCCTAAAACATGCTAACTGGCAACCAAGGAAGAGAGTGCTATGAGGTAGAGGAGGAGGTCTCTAACCCTGAGTGAGGGCTGGGATTTAGAGACACTTCCCAGAGAGTTTGAGCAGGTCTTTGGAGGAGAGGTAAAAGTCCATCACAGGAAGTGGGGTGATGAGAGGGCATTCCTAACAGGGGGAGCCCCCCCATGCATGTATGTGGAGTTGTGCATTGGCATGGGGTGTTCTGGAGAAGGGAAAGGATTGTGTGAAAGGAGGCAGTGAGGGCGGGCATTGAGGCAGTGAGAGTAAGGCGGGCATTACCAAGGAAAGGGGGAAGTTTTTAAGCTGGGTGGTAACGAGTCAGGTTAACTGTTTTGAAGGATCTTGCTGGTTGCTGTGTGAAGAGATTGTAGAGAAGTAACGCTGGAAGTAAAGGAGCTCTGGTGGCACAGTGCCTAAGGCATTTGACTGTTAGTCAGAAGGTTGACAGTTCAAACCCACCAGCCACTCCACAGACGAAGACTGGGCGATCTACTTCCATAAAGATTTACCACCTCAGAAACACAAAGGGGGTCACCATGAGTCAGAATCGACTCGATGGCAGTGAGCTTGGTTTGAGTTTGTAATGCTAGAAGTCAGGAAGTCTGCAAGGAACGAGGCCAGGACTCAGGTGGCCTTGGGGATGGGGAAAAGAGGTCACCTCCCTCCCACCCCTACCCACGGGCATCTTATAGGACAGATGCTAAGTGGTACACTTACAGGGTGCCTTCTTTTCACCTCTCAATCTGAGCAAGGCCCCGGGGATAGATCTATTCCTAGGAGTAGTTGGAGTTTTACTTCACTTATTTAGGAAAAGGGGAGAAATGAATACTCCTTAGTTCAAGTGGTGATGATGATAGTGGTGGTGGTGGTGGCGGCAGCTGCCTTTCATCCAGTGCCTCAGAGCTTGAGTTAGTAGTAGGTTTTCTACATATCCAATTTCTAATTCTCAGCACAACCCTGAGAGAAAAGCAGTGTCATGCTCATTTTACAGATATGTTTACCAAGACTCAAAGGGAGAAGTGACTTGTCTAGGGGCAGAGCCAAACGGGAACCCATCTGATTCCAATGAGTGTCTCTTTTTCACTGCACTGGGTGGCCAAACTGATGCCCACTCACTCTGGAAGCCATTAATCAAAACACCCTGCCTTAGAGATAAGTGTAGGCTCAGGAGTCAGACTAGATTAGATGGATCCCCACTCTGCCACTGTGATCTGGGCAAGCAACTTGGACATATCTGGACCTCCATTTCTCCATGTCTAAGTTGAGAACATAGAAGCTCCTCTAGGGCTGTTGTAAGCACAGTGCAGGATAGATACATAAAAGGGCTCAATGAGTGTTGGGTCTCATGCAAGTACTGTTCTTGTAGTGGATGCAGCCTGAGAAGCCAGTTGCTAAGGCATCACTGGGGCTCAGGAAAGCTGCAGCCTGAAAGAAGGACTTCGATACTGTAGGGCTCCCTTTGAACCATTGAATGACCTCCTTCCCTGCTGCCTCCCTCTGCCTCCTACCTGCCTCCCTCCCTCTCATGGGGAGGAGTGGAAGGGCAGGACTCTGGCTGGTTTCCATGGTGGACAGGATAGTGGTTACCTTTTCTTTCGCTCTAGATTTTAAGTCTTTAGAATTGATTGCAATCAATGCGTTCTTTTTACTTTGAGGACTTCAGTTTAAAGCTTTGTCTCCTTGAGCTGGAGACCAGCCATTAAAGTATCAGAAACATAAGAGAGGACCCTACCTTCGGTCTGCTCTGCCTGCTCTAGTGGGTAATCACAGCTGCATGGCACAAAGGGGCAAGCCTGGAGGGTAACATGCTACAGCCGAAAGCAAGTCTTCATTCCTTTCTTCTTCTGATCATGTAACTTTCACTGATGTTGTAAAAAAGAAAAGAATGCTTATTGCAGCTATTTTTAAAAGTAAAATAAACCAAGAAGCAAAATGTAACAGTATCTGTCTACATAACACACCCCCCCATGTACATCCACAAACTTTCCCACCTTCCCCACCTTTCCCACCTTCCTGCATTCTTCCCTATTCCCATAAACTGGTAACAGTCTAGTCCTTCTAGAATTATTTAACCATTTTTCCTTTTACTGAGATGCAGTCTCCATCTATTCGTGCTCTAAACATTTGTTCATAACCTGGAGTATGCTAGACCAGACAGGATGTGTTCATGGCGGCTTATTTGAGCTTATTAACCATATATGTTCATGTCAGCTTATTTGAAGTCTGTCAGTCCTTTGAATACATGAAGGAATGGTGGCGGACCAGAGGAGAGTGTGTGGTCAATTAGCCCCAGCCCTGACCTAGAGGAGGAAAAGACATTTCAGAAGGTATATTAGTAAAGCGATAAATCACCCTAAAATTTCCTAAAACATGCTAACTGACAACCAAGGAACAAAGTGTTATGAGGTAGAAGGGAGGGTTCCTTGGGTCAGGGGTGGGATTCAGGGAAGCTTCTCAGATGATTTGAGCAGGGTCTTGGAGGAGAGGTGCAAGTCCATCACGGTGATGGGAGGCATTTCTGGCAGGTGAACCAGTAAATTGTATCAAACAATGAAGGAATAAACAATACCAATGTTGCAAAATCTCTTTCAGAGTATAGAAGAGGGAAGATTTCCAAATGGGTTTTATAAGGCCAGCAGAAAACTGACAAAGATATTCATAAAAGAAAATTAAAAACCATTATCTTTCATGAACATAGACACATAGAACAAATTTTATGCACACACACACACAACTTGAAAATCTCAAAACTTTGCTGAGAGAAACTAAAGACCCAAATAAATGGAGACACATATACAATGCTCACTGATTGGAAGACTCAATATAGTTAAGATGTCAATTCATCCTAAATGGATCTATAGCTTCAACACAATTCCAATCATAGTCCTATCAGAGTTTTTGTAGAAAGTGCCAAGCTGAGTTTAACATATGTATGGCAATCCAAAGAACCTAGAAAATCCAAAGCAATCTGGAAAAAAAGGACAATGTTGGAGGACTTTTATGCCTAAGGCATGTGACTGCTAACCAGAAGGCTGGTGGTTCAAACCCACCAGCCACTCCTTGGAAGGAAGGTTGGACAATCTACTTCCATAGTGATAGTGCCTTGGAAACCCAAGGAGGGGTCGCTATGAGTCAGATCTGACTCCATGTCAGTGAGTTTGGTTTGGTTTGAAGACATACATAAATCAAAACACTGTGGTACTGTGTCACTGACCTGTACATGTAGAAATTGTTGAATTGGTGTATGTTTTGCTGTGTATATTCTCAACAATAAAAATAAAATAAATTATAACAAAAACAGTGTTATTCTGGATAAAGATTTTAAAAATATATATGTTTATGGAACAGAATAGTGCCTAGAAACAGACACACATTTATACAGGCACTTAATTTTTGGCAACTTGTCTGTCAGTTTGTTATCCTGTGATGAGTTGTATGTTGCTGTGATACTGGAAGCCATGCCACTGGTATGTCCGATACCATCATGGTTATTCATGGTGGACAGGTTTCAGCAGAGCTTCCAGACTAAGACAGACTAGGAAGAAGAATCTGGCAATCTACTTCTAAAAAAATTAGCCAGTGAAAACCTTATGAATAACAACAGAATATTATCTGACATAGTGCTGGAAGATGAGCCCCTCAGGTTGGAAGGAACTCAAAATATGACTGGGAAGAGCTGCTTCCTCAAAGTAGAATCGACCTTAATGACTTGGATGGAGTAAAGCTCTCAGGACCTATATTTGCTGATGTGGCACAACTTAAAATGAGAAGAAACAGCTGTGGACATCCATCAATAATTAGAATGTGGAATGTATAATGTATAAATATAGGAAAATTGGAAGTCATCAAAAAATGAAATGCATAAATATTCCAACTCATAGTGACCCTCAATGGGTTTCTGAGACTGTAAATCTTTACAGAAGTAGATTGCCCTGTCTTCCTTCCTCGAAGTGGTTGATGGGTTTGAGCTGCTGACCTTCTGGTTAGCAGCCAAATGCCTCATCCACTTTGCCACCAGAGCTCCTTATGCATTAGGGAACTGAAATGGACTGATATTGGCCATTTTGAATCAGACTATCATGCGGTCTACTATGCCAAGAATGAGAAATTGAAGAGGAACAGCATCACATTCAACATTTCATGAACTATCCTGAAGAACAATGCCATCAGTGA